ACCCAGTGGCTTAAAAACTCACGCCAGGCGTGTGTGCGTGCATGCCCAAGATCCCAGGAGGAGAATGGAGGAGAAGGGATTGTGGTGTGACCACCCCCCCTGGGGGGTGATTTCTCGCTTTCTGTCTCTATGTCTCTCTCTCTCTGTCTGGCGAGCACACGCGCCCTATAGCAAAAACCTCTCCAAAAAAATAAAAAATAAAAAAAGAGAGTCACAGGAGTGACATGTCAGAGCCTCGTTTTAGGAAGCGATTCGGCAATCTGTATCAATAGTCACAAACACGGTGGTCAGGTCTCGAGACTCCGAGAGCACTTCCCTTCCGGAAATGCGTCTGAAGGAAATCATCCAAATGTCGGTGCACAACGGTCATGGCTCTATTTTATTCTGGGACAGCAAAAACGGGAGCCCACCTAAGTATGACGGGCAAGCTGCTGCAACCACAGTGAGGGAGATCCGAAGGGAGAAGGACGAGAATGTGGGAGGGTGAGAAGGTAAGGCAATGGGGATACCTTCTCCGCTAGACTTAAAGTGACCCGTGACAATGACGGCCAGCCCCCCGACGTCACCGACGACGGTGACCCTCCAGACCCCCGACGTCACCAGTGGCTGTGGTGACCCCCTAGACCAGCGGCCCCCGTCCCCAGCACCAGGACCGACCACGTAAAAGACACTCTCTCCACAGACCTGAGGTTGGGGTCGGCCCCGCAATGACCCACGTGCACACCTCCTGCACACCCCATTTTCACCACTAGCATGCTGAGAAACACTGGGACAATCACACAATGGGGTTCTCACCCCAGTGAGGACCAGCAGCGCCGCTGACCCGACAGGAGACAGAGCCCAGGCGGCGATGGGCAACGGGGCAGCGGCTGCAGAGACGGACAACCCTGGCTAGTTTGCTGGCCACCCGCCCACACAGTGCAGCATGGCAGCCTGGCACGGCCCATGTCCAGGTGTTGGGGACTCCTGCCCGAGCCCACTGACGGCGCTAGTGGTGCTGATGCCCCAGGCCACCGGCCGGGCGAGGCGCGCCACGCGGGCGGGGGGC